ATTTAAAAGTAAAGCATCCCTTTAAAAAAACATAAAAAATACTATTAAAAAATTTTTCCCTCACAAAAAAAAAATCCCTTTAAATGTAAAAATACCCGCAAAATAACAAAAAAAAAAATCCTGAAATCAGCAAAAATCCGAGAGGATATTCTCCAAGCCACAGAAATTTGTGGGTGAGGAAAAGGTGGAAAAAAATTGGAAAAGGTGGAAAAATTCCCTCAGCGGGAAGTGAGGGGTGGCCTCAGGGATGGGTGGGTGGGGGGGGAGCGGGAAGGGATTTCCCACACAAAAGCCTCAAAGTGGAGCTCAGATTAACAAAAAAAACTGGCTTAAAATTAAAAATATGAATTAAAATTAAAATAAAAACATCCCTTTAAAAGATAAAAAAATTATTTAAAAATTTTTCCCTCACATTAACAAAAAATCCCCCTTAAAGGAAAAAATACAAAATAACCAAAAAATATCCTGAAATCAGCAAAAATCCGAGAGGAAATTCTCCAAGCCGCAGAAATTTGTGGGTAAGGAAAAGCTGGAAAAGGTGGAAAAGATGGAAAAGGTGGAAAAATTCCCTGGGCGGGAAGTGAGGGGCAGCCTCAGGCATTCCCCACACAAAGCCCTCAAATTAACAAAAATTCGGCTTATATTGGAAAATATAAATTCAAATTAAAAGAAAAGCAACTTGTTTTTTAAAAAAGCTTTAATTAAAGAAAATTCGCCTCACGCTAAAGAAAAACCCCCTTTAAAATAAAAAATGCCCGCAAAATAACCCACAAAATGGAGCTCAGGTTAACCAAAAACCGGCTTAAAATGAAAAATATAAATTCAAATTAAAAGCAAAGCCGTTCATTTTTTTAAAAAAGCTTTAATTAAAGAAAATTCCCCTCACACAAAAAAAACCCCACCTTAAATTAAAAAATATCTGCAAATTAATGGAAAAAACCCTCAAACTAACAGAAAATAGCTCAAATTGAAAAATACAAATTTAAATTAAAAGAAAAGCCGCTCATTTTTTAAAAAAACTTTTAATTAAAGAAATTTCTCCTCACAGTAAAGAAAACCCCTTTAAACTAAACAATACCTGCAAATTAATGAAAAAACCCTCAAATTAACAAAAAAACCACCTCAGTTTAAAAAAATACCCTTAAATTAAAAAAGAACCCCTCGAATTAAAAGAATTCTGCCTTTAAATTATAAAAAAACACCTTAAATTAACAGAAAAAACCCTTAATGGCTCAAATAAACAAAAAAAGCCACATCAAATTTAAAAAAAATACCTTAAATTTAAAAAAAAACCCTCAAATTAAACAATTTTGCCTTCAAATTTAAAAAAAACCCCTAAATTTACCAAAAAAACACCTAAAATCAAAAATACTTCTCAAATTAAAAAATTCTCTCCTCAAATTAACAAATCCCCCCCTCAAATTCCAAATTCTCCCCTCAGAATAAAAATTCACCTCAATTAAAACCCCTTAAACTAAAAGCAGCCCCTCAAATTAACAAAATACCCTTTTAAAATTTTTAAATATTATTTTTTTTAATTTTTAAAAAAATTTTAAAAGCCCAAATTTGGGTGTCCTCGTTCCATCCCAACCCCTCTGTCTGATTTTGGGGTTCCCCCATCCCACCTTGACCCCTTGTCAGAGATTTTGGGGTGTGTGTTCCCCACCCCTCTCTCTGATTTTGGGGCGCCCTGATGGTGTCCCCACAATTTCTCTCTCTGATTTGGGGTCCCCTCTCACATTTTGGGGTCCCCTCTCAGATTTTGGGCTTCCCGTCTCACATTTGGGGTTTCCCTCTCAGATTTTGAGGTTCTCCTCTCACATTTTGGGGTCCCCTCTCAGATTTTGGGGTTCCCCTCTCTAATTTGGGGTTCCCCTCTCAGATTTTGGGGTCCCCTCTCAGATTTTGGGGTTCCCCTCTCACATTTGGGGTGCCCCTCTCACATTTTGGGGTTCCCTCTCAGATTTCGGGGCTTCCCTCTCAGATTTTGGAGTCCCCTCTCTGATTTGGGGGTTCCCTGTCAGATTTTGGGGTTCCCTCTCTGATTTTGGGGTTCCCTCTCTCAGATTTCGGGGTTCCCCTCTCATATTTCGGGGTGCTCCCCTCCGATTTCGGGGTGCCCCTCTCAGATTTTGGGGTTCCCCTCTCAGATTCCAGGGTTCCCTCTCCAATTTTGGGCTGCCCCTCTCAGATTTCAGTGTTCCCCTTTCACATTTGGGGTTCTGCTCTCCGATTTCAGGATTCCCTCTCCGATTCCGGGGTTCCCTCTCTGGTCCCTCTCAGATTCCGGGGTTCCCTCTCCGATTTTGGGGTGCCCTTCTAACATTTCAGTGTTTCCCTCTCAGATTTTAGGTTCTGCTCTCTAATTTCAGGATTCCCCTCTCAGATTCCGGGGTTCCCTGTCAGATTTTAGGGTTCCCCTCTCAGATTTTTTTTTTTTCTGTCTGATTTTGGGGTGCCCTTCTCCCCGTCTCTGATTTTGGGGTGCCGCTCTCAGATCTTGGTGTTCCTCTCTCAGATTTCGGGGTTCCCCTCTCATATTTCGAGGTGCTCCCCTCCGATTTTGGGGTGCCCCTCTCAGATTTTGGGGTTCCCTCTCAGATTTTGGGGTTCCCTCTCCAATTTTGGGCTGCCCCTCTCAGATTTTGGGGTTCCCCTGTCAGATTTTGGGTTCCGCTCTCCGATTTCAGGATTCCCTCTCCGATTCCGTGGTTCTCTCTCAGATTTCGGGGCTCCCCTCTCACATTTTGGGGTTCCCTCTCAGATTTCGGGGCTTCCCTCTCACATTTTGGGGTCCCCTCTCTGATTTTAGGGTTCCCTCTCTCAGATTTCGGGGTTCCCCTCTCCTATTTCGGGGCTCCCCTCCAATTTTGGGGTGCCCCTCTCAGATTTCAGTGTTCCCCTCTCAGAGTTTGGGTTCCGCTCTCCGATTTCAGGATTCCCTCTCCGATTCCGGGGTTCCCTCTCAGATTTCGGGGCTCCCCTCTCACATTTTGGGGTTCCCTCTCACATTTTGGGGTTCCCTCTCTGATTTTGGGGTTCCCTCTCTCAGATTT